ATAGAGAATCTGATTTCTAGTCAGACGCCTTAACCGACAGACCAAGGCTAAATCTGTTTGAAAGTCAAACTATTTCTGGTGATGTGCCATGCGTTGAAATATAAGGCCATTATATTTTTATAAATTTATGTAGCCAATTCCCATATTTGAGGAAAATTTCTGGGCTGACCTGTTAATTAAAAAATATATATTTCAAGCAAAACAATGGCCGTTTGCAGTCGGTAGGTTTCGAACCTACGCTGCCATGGAGAATCTGATTTCTAGTCAGACGCCTTAACCGACAGACCAAGGCTAAATCTGTTTGAAAGTCGAACTATTTCTGGTGATGTGCCATGCGTTGAAATATAAGTCCATTATATTTTTATAAATTTACGTACTCAATCCCCATATTTGCGAAAAATTTCTGGGCTGAGCTGTTAATTAAAAAATATATATTTCAAGCAAAATAATGATCGTTTGCAGTAGGTAGGTTTCGAACCTACGCTGCCATGGAGAATCTGATTTCTAGTCAGACGCCTTAACCGAGAGACCAAGGCTAAATTTGTTTGAAAGTCGAACTATTTCTGGTAATGTGCCATGCGTTGAAATATAAGTCCATTATATTTTTATAAATTTATATACTCAATCCCCACATTTGAGAAAAATTTCTGAGGTGAGCTGTTAATTAAAAAATATATATTTCACGCAAAACAATGGCCGTTTGCAGTAGGTAGGAATCGAACCTACGCTGCCATGGAGAATCTGATTTCTAGTCAGACGCCTTAACCGACAGACCAGGGCTAAATCTGTTTGAAAGTCGAACTATTTCTGGTGATGTGCCATGCGTTGAAATATAAGGATATTATATTTTTAAAAATTTATGTAGTCAATCCCCATATTTGAGAAAAATTTCTGGGCCGACCTGTTAATTAAAAAATATATATTTCAAGCAAAACAATGGCCGTTTGCAGTAGGTAGGTTTCGAACCTACGCTGCCATAGAGAATCTGATTTCTAGTCAGACGCCTTAACCGACAGACCAGGGCTAAATCTGTTTGAAAATAGGACTATTTCTGGTGATGGGCCATTTGGAATATAAGGACATATGTATGCATATTGTTTTAAATTTATGCACTCAATCCCCATAATTGACAAAATTTTCTGGGCTGAGCTGCTAATTACAAAAATTATATTTCAAGCAAAATAATGGCCGTTTGCAGTAGGTAGGTTTCGAACCTACGCTGCCATGGAGAATCTGATTTCTAGTCAGACGCCTTAACCGGCAGACCAAGGCTAAATCTGTTTGAAAGTCGAACTATTTTTGGTGATGTGCCATGCGTTGAAATATAAGGATATTATATTTTTAAAAATTTATGTAGTCAATCCCCATATTTGAGAAAAATTTCTGTTCCGACCTGTTAATTAAAAAATATATATTTCAAGCAAAACAATGGCCGTTTGCAGTAGGTAGGTTTCGAACCTACGCTGCCATAGAGAATCTGATTTCTAGTCAGACGCCTTAACCGACAGACCAGGGCTAAATCTGTTTGAAAACAGGACTATTTCTGGTGATGGGCCATTTGAAATATAAGGACATATGTATGCATATTGTTTTAAATTTATGCACTCAATCCCCATAATTGACAAAATTTTCTGGGCTGAGCTGCTAATTACAAAAATTATATTTCAAGCAAAATAATGGCCGTTTGCAGTAGGTAGGTTTCGAACCTACGCTGCCATGGAGAATCTGATTTCTAGTCAGATGCCTTAACCGAGAGACCAAGGCTAAATCTGTTTGAAAGTCGAACTATTTCTGGTAATTTGCCATGCGTTGAAATATAAGTCTATTATATTTTTATAAATTTATGTACTCAATCTACATATTTGAGAAAAATTTCTGAGCTGAGCTGTTAATTAACAAATATATATTTCACGCAAAACAATGGCCGTTTGCAGTAGGTAGGTATCGATCCTACGCTGCCATGGAGAATCTGATTTCTAGTCAGACGCCTTAACCGACAGACCAAGGCTAAATCTGTTTGAAAGTCGAACTATTTCTGGTGATGTGCCATGCGTTGAAGTATAAGGCCATTATATTTTTATAAATTTTTGTATTCAATCCCCATATTTGAGAAAAATTTCTGAGCTGAGCTGTTAATTAACAAATATATATTTCAAGCAAAACAATGGCCGTTTGCAGTAGGTAGGTTTCGAACCTACGCTGCCATAGAGAATCTGATTTCTAGTCAGACGCCTTAACCGACAGACCAGGGCTAAATCTGTTTGAAAGTAGGAATATTTCTGGTGTTGTGCCATTTGAAATATAAGGGCATATGTATGCATATTGTTTTAAATTTATGCACCCAATCCCCATAATTGACAAAATTTTCTGGGCTGAGCTGCTAATTACAAAAATTATATTTCAAGCAAAACAATGGCCGTTTGCAGTAGGTGGTAGGTTTCGAACCTACGCTGCCATAGAGAATCTGATTTCTAGTCAGACGAGTTAACCGAGAGAGCAGGGCTAAATCTGTTTGAAAATAGGACTATTTCTGGTGATGTGCCATTTGAAATATAAGGGCATATGTATGCATATTGTTTTAAATTTATGCACTCAATCCCCATAATTGACAAAATTTTCTGGGCTGAGCTGCTAATTACAAAAATTATATTTCAAGCAAAATAATGGCCGTTTGCAGTAGGTAGGTTTCGAACCTACGCTGCCATGGAGAATCGGATTTCTAGTCAGACGCCTTAACCGAGACACCAAGGCTAAATCTGTTTGAAAGTCGAACTATTTCTGGTAATTTGCCATGCGTTGAAATATAAGGCCATTATATTTTTATAAATTTTTGTATTCAATCCCCATATTTGAGAAAAATTTCTGAGCTGAGCTGTTAATTAACAAATATATATTTCACGCAAAACAATGGCCGTTTGCAGTAGGTAGGTATCGATCCTACGCTGCCATGGAGAATCTGATTTCTAGTCAGACGCCTTAACCGACAGACCGGGGCTAAATCTGTTTGAAAGTCGAACTATTTCTGGTGATGTGCCATGCGTTGAAACATAAGGCCATTATATTTTTATAAATTTACGTACTCAATCCCCATATTTGAGAAAAATTTCTGGGCTGAGCTGTTAATTAAAAAATATATATTTCAAGCAAAATAATGACCGTTTGCAGTAGGTAGGTTTCGAACCTACGCTGCCATGGAGAATCTGATTTCTAGTCAGACGCCTTAACCGAGAGACCAAGGCTAAATCTGTTTGAAAGTCGAACTATTTCTGGTAATTTGCCATGCGTTGAAATATAAGTCTATTATATTTTTATAAATTTATGTACTCAATCTACATATTTGAGAAAAATTTCTGAGCTGAGCTGTTAATTAACAAATATATATTTCACGCAAAACAATGGCCGTTTGCAGTAGGTAGGTATCGATCCTACGCTGCCATGGAGAATCTGATTTCTAGTCAGACGCCTTAACCGACAGACCAAGGCTAAATCTGTTTGAAAGTCGAACTATTTCTGGTGATGTGCCATGCGTTGAAATATAAGGCCATTATATTTTTATAAATTTTTGTATTCAATCCCCATATTTGAGAAAAATTTCTGAGCTGAGCTGTTAATTAACAAATATATATTTCACGCAAAACAATGGCCGTTTGCAGTAGGCAGGTATCGATCCTACGCTGCCATGGAGAATCTGATTTGTAGTCAGACGCCTTAACCGACAGACCAAGGCTAAATCTGTTTGAAAGTCGAACTATTTCTGGTGATGTGCCATGCGTTGAAATATAAGGCCATTATATTTTTATAAACTTATGTGTTCAATCCCCATATTTGAAAAAATTTTCTGGGCTGAGCTGTTAATTAAAATATATATATTTCAAGCAAAACAATGGCCGTTTGCAGTAGGTAGGTTTCGAACCTACGCTGCCATAGAGAATCTGATTTCTAGTCAGACGCCTTAACCGACAGACCAGGGCTAAATCTGTTTGAAAGTAGGAATATTTCTGGTGTTGTGCCATTTGAAATATAAGGGCATATGTATGCATATTGTTTTAAATTTATGCACTCAATCCCCATAATTGACAAAATTTTCTGGGCTGAGCTGCTAATTACAAAAATTATATTTCAAGCAAAACAATGGCCGTTTGCAGTAGGTAGGTTTCGAACCTACGCTGCCATAGAGAATCTGATTTCTAGTCAGACGAGTTAACCGACAGACCAGGGCTAAATCTGTTTGAAAATAGGACTATTTCTGGTGATGTGCCATTTGAAATATAAGGGCATATGTATGCATATTGTTTTAAATTTATGCACTCAATCCCCATAATTGACAAAATTTTCTGGGCTGAGCTGCTAATTACAAAAATTATATTTCAAGCAAAATAATGGCCGTTTGCAGTAGGTAGGTTTCGAACCTACGCTGCCATGGAGAATCTGATTTCTAGTCAGACGCCTTAACCGACAGACCAAGGCTAAATCTGTTTGAAAGTCGAACTATTTCTGGTGATGTGCCATGCGTTGAAATATAAGTCTATTATATTTTTATAAATTTATGTACTCAATCTACATATTTGAGAAAAATTTCTGAGCTGAGCTGTTAATTAAAAAATATATATTTCACGCAAAACAGTGGCCGTTTGCGGTAGGAAGGTATCAGTAGATGTATAGTGCCGATATAAGCAACAGAAACCGTACATAACCTCAATTTCCTAACCCCCCCGCAGCGGGGCCCCCCCGCGCGTGGCGTCCTAGTGTCCCCCCTGTCTACCAGAGTGCGCTCCGCCCCCCACCCAGCTTGTGTAGCGTCCTGTTTTGCCCCGGTTCCGCCCGTCGCTGCTAGATGTCGCGCGCTTGTGTAGCGTCCTGTTTTGCCCCGGTTCCGCCCGTCGCTGCTAGATGTCGCGCGCTCCGACCGTCGTAGGCCCCCCCGGTAGAGGGCGGTGACGCGGTGGATCGGGAGGATAATTAAATAAACTTGAATTTTAATACATTTTATTTTATTTTATTTATAAAATTGGTCTGGCGAGGAGTTTCTTCTTCTTTTTATGTCGATTCAGTCGACCATCCCATTGTTCCTGTTCCTTGCGTTGTTCTTCTTCCCGTTCCCGGAGGAAATCTAAATACGAAGTGCACTCCTCGCCGTCCCACTCCGTCGACCACCCACCCGGGTACTCCTGCTGCTCCTTTGTTTCTTTTGATCCACCGGGTTGCTCCTGCTGCTGGTGATGTTCCCTTGTCGTTGCATGTCGTACCGGGAATTCTAACCCCCGGTACTCTTTGTGTGATTTGAATATGTGACGCCCTAAGCGATGCGCCAACATAATATGCGACTTGTCATACGGACAAACCGCGATTTTTTCTAGAACAAAACAAAGTATGATATGTAGCGTTTCCTATAAAACACACATTTTTTTTAAACAAAACTTCCAAAAAGGGGGGTTATCAAATAATTTTAAAAATTGTTTTTTAAGTTATACGCGCATACCAAAATTCACGTTTCAATTCACTGTCATTTAAATGTACGTGTATTATTGTCAAAAGGGCAAACTGTAATTTTTTAGTACAAAAAATAAACAAAAATATGTATATATTTCGCGTTTTCCCCATAAAACGCACATTTTTGAAACAAAACTTTCAGTAAGTGGGGGGTCATCAAATAATTTTTAAAAAATTGTTTATTTTTTAAAAGCCAAAATTCCCTATTCACTGTCATTTAAAAGATATTAAAAACGCTCAATTTAATTCGATTATTATTGTCAAAAAGGCAAACTGCAATTTTTTAGTACAAAAAATAAAACATATTTCGCGTTTTCCCCATAAAACGCACATTTTTGAAACAAATTTAAAAATTGTTTATTTTTTAAAAGCCAAAATTCCCTTTTCCATTCACTGTCATTTAAAAGATATTAAAAACACTCAATTTAAATCGGTTATTATGCAACGTAAAAAAGATGAGTATCATATTTTAAAAACAGGTAGAAACTAACCAAAAAAGTGATAACCCAAACTGAAACCCACAAGAAAAGACGCGCACTGTATAAAGGTAATTAAAATATAAAACTTACCAGTTGTAGGGTCGTAGGGAAATGGACATCGCACTTCTGTATTCATTGCACTGAATATAGTCTATAATACACATGCAACGTATTTATACACATGCACTCCCTTCCATGGTTGAATTAAAAGTCGAAAGGTCTTCTACCCACAAGCACCAACGCCGATTTGAATAGACGCGATGTTGTCGCCAGACAACCGTGCAGGTAGAAGTCTCAAGGTCAACACGCTTTCACACGGGAACGCAACCGCTTCGGACGTTGGACGAACGTATGTTGCCGCAAAAGATCAAGGCCAACTTGCTTTCATTTTTTACAATCTCCGTATGGGATGTGGAATTTCAAAACGCGCCGAGTCTAAATGTCAAGTTGTTTTGCTTGTTGAGAATAATAATTAATTGCCCCCTTTATATTTGCTCCGTGGGATTAACGTAATGGGAAAAATTTGTTGCAACGCATGTGGAGGTGTCTTCGTTTGTTAACTTTTAGAAAGTATTCTCGCACCGTATAAATACATCTCATTTTTCTCTGTTTTGTCAGTAGTTGTTTTTGGTATTATTCGTGCAACGTGGAAGCTAACTTAGTGGTTTGGTGTTCGTACAAAAAAGCAGTAAGTACCTTTTTTATTGTTTTATTTTAATTCTTTAACATTTGTTATTATTTTATAAAGGTCTTAAAGATCATCTTAGTACTCTCAACCCGTAACCGCAAATAGAATAGCAGCAATCTTAAGCGTAAGTTTTTTTTATTTTTTTTATTTTGAGATAAAATAATTAATAATAATTTATAGATGGACTTAAGTCAACTGAATCAAACCTGTCTTGCAGAAGGTGATTTTGAGCAGCCGATTGTCAAACTGCATGAATTGCCGATAGGCGTTCCGTTTAAAATTACTAGAGCCAAAATTGTTAATACAAAATTTGGCAATTCCGTGTTGCTGCAATTAGAAAATTCCGTAGTATTTCTTCCTACTCGCGTGACAGAAGCTTTCCGTCCGAGACTAGAACACTTTGCGTCGGGGCAGTACAAACTGGTCTACGAGGGATCCAAAGATATTGGAAAGCCCAACTCTTTAAAGAAATTCAAAATAATTCAAAATTAATCAACATATTATACAGGGTAAGTCTTATTTACTGTTATATATTTAATAAACCACGATGCGCGTAAAGCAGATCATTCATAGAGCGCAAATCTTAATTTTAACCTTACAAAAATTAAAAAAGCATATTTCCGACAAGTTCACTCTTAGAGATAGTGATGTGTGGCTTAGGAGACTAAATAAAAATATTGAATCTTGCAACCAAATCGTTTCTAACGAAAAGGATTTATCTATTGGGTTAAAAAGAAAATTACAAACTACAATTCAACATCTGAAAGCTATTAGAAAAATTATTCTTAATTATCAACATAAGCATTTTGGATTGGGATTACAAAGTAGTAGCCGTGAGACAAACACAAATGAAATGGTTGTATGGGAATCGGTAGCGTCGTGTTTCCAGGGAAGAGTTCAGACCGGTGTCATAATTAATTTACTTCATAAAGATTTAATTCAATTTTTAAACGATTGTCGTCCAATATTTCAACAAAAAATTAGTCAAATTTTAAAGAAATTTTTATTGCTGAAAGTAAATACCACATTTTGCGGTGAATTTATTAAGGCAAAAAATGATGTCCAAGGCGAAGTTGATGTTAAATATCTGACTACCGGAAATGCTGTAGTTGATTTAGGAACAGAATTGAATGATTGGTTTGTTGAAAATGTGCAAGATAAAATTTTAAATCAAATGTCAGAGTTTCAGGAACGTGATTCCGGGTGGGCTTTAAATAATATTATTTATTTAGAGATTAACATTAATAAATTTGAAATGGGTAACGGGTCATCCTTCGTTGAGTTGCCTAAAGAAATTGCGAATAAAAGGGCTTGTATTAACATTAGAAATGACGATCAAGCGTGTTTTTATTGGTCAGTTGTATGCGGACTCTTTCCAGCACGTTTTCGTCAGTATTTACCCTCTTCATATCCATACTACAAAAGTGTTTTGAAAACTTAAAATTTACAAACACCTATGGAAATGAATAAAATAAGCAAATTTGAAAAAGACAATGATATTTCCATCAATGTTTATATCTTAGAGTTTAATAAAAATGAAAAAACTAGTTTTTATTCCGTGTTACCTGCACGATTAACAAAAGAAAAACGCGAAAAACATTCAAATTTGTTGTTAATACAAAATAAATATTATCCAAAAGTTAATGATTTTGATCCTGATCCGCAAGATAATGATTATGAAGAAATAAAATATCACTATTGTTACATTAAAAATTTGTCTCGATTAGTTTCCTCACAGCTCAGTAAATATAATCACAAGAAATACATTTGCGATAGGTGTTTGAATTATTTCAATAACGAAACTCGTCTACATGACCACGAAACAATATGTTCCAGTTTCAATGAGTATAAAGTGTCTTTTCCCAAATATGATTACGTTGAATTTCGAAACCATATATATAAACAAAGGACTCCGTTTGTAATTTACGCCGATTTTGAGAGTCAATTGAGAAAAGTAAATTTGAAAATTTCAGATAAAACCTCGAAATACCAAAAGCACGAAGCTTACAGTGCTGCATATTACTTTAAATGTTCTTATGATGATTCAATATCATTTTTCAAAAGTTATCGTGGTCTAGATTGTATTGATTGGTTCGTGGAGGAAATATCTAATTTATCAAAATTTGTTCGTTCAAAATTACGATTCATCCAGGGATGATTCCTATATCATGTACTTTGACGTCAATAACCTCTATGGCAAGGCCATGTGCGAGCCTCTTCCTTACGGAGGATTCGACTGGATGTCTCATCAAGAGATTGATTCATTTAATGTCATGAACATTCCAGATGAATCTTCCCAAGGATATATCCTAGAGGTAGACCTGGAATACCCGCAGAAATTACATGACACACATAGAGATTTTCCATTTTGTGCCGAACATCGAGTGCCCCCCAATTCAAAGTTACCAAAACTAATGACTACTTTGTATAATAAAGAAAAATACGTCATACACTATCGCAATTTAAAACAGGCTCTCAAAAACGGTCTCGTACTAAAGAAAATTCACAAAATATTAAAATTTAACCAATCTCGTTGGTTGAAATGTTATATCGATCATAATAATAAATTAAGAACCCAAGCAAAAACAAAATTTGGTATAAATTTATACAAATTGTTTAATAATGCCGCTTACGGTAAAACAATGGAAAACATTCGCAAGCATCGTATTGTTAAATTTGTTAAAGCGTGGGATGGTCGCTACGGTGCGAAAAATTTAATTTCTAGTCCTAGATTTCACAGTAGAACCATACTTGATAACAATTTGTTGCTTATAGAATTAAAAAAAACGGAACTTTGCTTTAATAAGCCACTTTATATTGGAATGTCCATATTGGATTTGTCGAAAACGACCATGTACGAGTTTCATTATAATTACATGCTTCCAAATTTGGGTCCCGAAAAATGTAAAATTCAATACATGGATACGGACAGTTTCATTTATAATATCAAATGTTATGACGCATATGAAAGCGTTATTAAGGCCGATTTAACAAAATTTGACACGTCTGATTATCCTAATGACAATCCCTATAATATACCGCAAATCAACAAAAAGGTTTTGGGGTTGATGAAGGATGAGACTAATGGCACCATCATTAGTCATTATGCTGGGTTAAGGTCGAAAATGTATACTTTCAAAATTTTAACGGGTTCGGTAGTTAAAAAGTCAAAGGGTATTCAGTACAATATTGTAAAAAATAAAATTTCATTTGATGACTACGTAGAATGCTTAACAAATTTTAGGGAAAAGTACGCCACTCAACGAACCATTCGTTCATACACTCACAATGTATTTAGCATCGAACAAACAAAAGTTGCCTTGAGTCCTTTAGACGATAAACGTTATCTTTTGCCGAATTCATATGAAACGCTTCCGTGGGGACATTATAAAGTGCCCTAATTATTTTTTAATATATTTTTGTTACAGATTATGGTCAAACAACTTACATTAGAAAGCCTTTGTATTATAACAATTTGCGAAAATATTAGGTGTAGTGCTGATTTTTTGCTTGAGTCACCTTTGCCTTGGAAACTAACGATACTAATATTTAAATATTATTCGAAATATAGATGGAGGTACCTTAAACAATTAGCGCTCCAGTCTGATGGCAATTCTTTATTAAATTTAGAATTCATTCTGTTGAATAAGAGATTTGGATCGTCTTACAGAAATAGCATTTTGGCAACTCCAACCATTGATTTTGACGGAGAATCCGCTTACTGTTTATGGGTCAGTTATTACAGGATAAAATATTCGGAAATTTTAGTTTGTAAATCTTGTCACTTTATATTTCAAGTAGTTAAAAAATTTAAAAAGAAAAATTTTAGACTTTTATTGGATCACTATCATTTACAGCTGGATATAAATAATTTGAATGATGTATATCACGATAAACAATTTTGGTGTCAAAGCTGCTTTGAAGAAGTTTTGTTCACTGTAGAAACTGAAGATGAATGTAATCTAATGCTTCACAATGAGAGGAAATATGGAAAAAGTTACGCTTTTCTGATAGTCCATTGAACTATTAATACTGTGGTTTTATTATAAAATATGTAACTGTAGATAAGGCTTTTATGTATTGATTGTATTCCATTGTATTGCAACAAGAATAAACATGTATATATTTAGACGCTATTTTCTTTTTTACCACCACCACAACACCGCATAATAATTACACAGAAGTTTGTAATTGTATAATTTATTTATTATATACATTATTACTATTTTACAATTTCGTTAAATGCTAAATTATTAAATTGTTCTAGTTTTCTTTTGCACTCTTGAGCTTGCATCCGCGCCACTTGCAAGTCTGTATTAAAAAGCGCAATTTGTGTTTCAATTTCGTTGATATTGCACTCTAATCCCGACAACTGAGACGCCAAGTTTCTTTTTAAATTGAATGCCTCACAAATGACACTTTTTTCTCTACCGTCCGTGAACACTTCGAGCCAATCAGCGGATGACGTTGGAGCTGCAAACGCTTCACTTGTGGTAGTTTTCTTCTTCTTCTTGCGGGATACGACCGACGCACTTTGTTTTC